AGATCACTTCCCCTGGCCTCCAGGTCACTTCCCCTGGCCTCTTCCCTCCCACACTCCAGCTTGAGGCCCTATAGAAAATGATTATTCAACAAATATTTGCCCAGTACTGTCCGTGGGTCAAACTCTCTACTGTTTGACCTGCTGACACGAAGGTGGAGCCTCAGCACTCAGTCTGGGTTGCACCGGGAGGCTACGTGCCTCCAACAAGTGACTCAGTGCCCCCAAGCCACTGTCTGCTGGAGCTTGTTAGCACACAGTCTAAGCAGCTCAGCAGGATTTAGCCCAAGGCACACAGTAAGCATAGCACACAGTAAGACTAAAAACCAGCTGCTGGTGTGACTCAAGCCTGCCTTGGCCAGCTGCCTAAGAACATAGCACACCTGGGAAAGTAGCAGGGTCCACACTTCTGACCTTGTGGTCCTCATAATCATGACCATTGTTAGACTAATGTGGGGGGAAGCTGAAACTGAATGGTGACCTTGTCTGTGGTCACCCCATGAACCTATCTATGAGAGACCTGGATATGGGTCTGAGTCTCTTTAACTCCTGGAGAACGCTGTACTGTGTGTTCTGTATGTGATGGCCAGTGACCCCAAAGAGCCTCCCACCTGGACTGTGGGTACCATGATGCCCAGAAGCTGCTCACTATAGAGACAATGTGGCAACATTGGTCAGGACCCAAGGCTTGGGGCTGGTGGGAGACTTGGCCACTGGTCAAGCCATGCTAAGGTTTATGGCTTTACAGGGATTTCCCAATTTATCTTCTCACCTAGGAAGCAGGATGCCAGAACTCTGGGTACCGCCCCTCTGCGGTACACCCAAGGTCAATAATCTCAGCCACTCCTCAAAGAGGGTTTGCCCTGAGGGATCTGCCCAGAGGGTATGTTTGCTTATGGAACCCTCCCAACAGCCATCTGGAGCTCCATGGTATATAAAGCTTGGAGCAACTAGGAACATTAGTGCAGTAAGTACTAGATAGGACTTGTTCTTGGCTCATCAGCTCCCTTGCCCTGCCTCTGGTGGTGGAGGTAAAGGAGCCAGAGCCTGTGGCTGCCTGGGGGCCGGGGGGAGGAAGGGAGCAGGACTGCATGGTGGGACCTCATATTGCTTCCACTCAGAGCACTTCTGACAAAAGGCAATGCAGTGGCTTGGGTCCCTCTGCACTCCAGCTAGCCTCCAGCAGCTGCCCCAGGCATTGGCCACTTATGTCTTAGCACATATGGCCCAGGTAGCTCAGGCTAGGTACTGTCTTACTCTGGTCCATCAGGTCCCCTTTCCTCCTCTGTAATGTTGATCACAATCTACTTGTGGAATAGTGACCTTCCAGTGACCACCACAGGCTGTACTGGTCAAGGCTACAGGCCTCAGGGAGGTTGAGTTAGCACTCGCATCAGAGCCAGCTGAAAGCCCAACACCAGGGTCATTTGTACAGGAAACAACTGATAGTAATGGCATTCAGGGCGAGAGTAAGGACAAGGGCAACAAGAGGAGAAGAAAAGAAAAACCCAAATCAAAGTTAGTGGATTTTTAAATTAAATCTCTTCAGGTGGAAACATTGTCTAACTGAAACCCTAACCCTTTAACAGAGAACAAGTTTGAATATGTGGGATTCAACCATTGTAAAGCCAGTCTGCCAGCAGCCTGCAAAAGGTCTTGAAATGTGTCAGCCCCCAAATTATATACAACCCCTGGAAAAGGAGGTCCCCCAAGTTATTTGAGCTTATTCTTCTACCATGTGGGAAAATAGAGAGAAATCCAAGGCAAGTTAAACCAGGCATGGTGGTTCACACCTGTAAACCCAGAACTCCCAGCACACAGGAGGCTAAGGTAGGTGGACCTCTGAGTTTGAGGCCAGACTGGTCTATAGAATTCCAGGGCAGCCAGGGGCTACACAGAGAAACCTATCTTGAAACAAAACAAACAAAAGCCCAAGGAACAAAGATACCTTGTTCGGTGTAGTGCTGTCTTTAGTTTTTTTATTCCCCTCACCCTTGGCTGGGGGGGAGGCAGGTGTTGAAAAGGAACTGCTGGGCCTCACCCAACCCTCAAACCCCTCACCTTTCATCAGCCTCCTGCTCCACCACACTTCAGAAGCAGAGATCTGCTCCCTGCTTTCTTTAGACCTTGGTGAACTCATCAGCACAGCTTCAAGGAATGAGGTAGAGCTGGGTTCAAGACCAGCCCTGCCAGGGCAAATCCATCTTCCCTCTGGCCTGAGTCTCAGTCTCTGGAATGAAACTGAGATGTTGACCAGGATTGGCAAGTAGAACAAGGAGGTCACAGCTATGTGTCAGACACTGCTTTCTAAACAGACTGGACTGCACTAGAGTTTAGCTAACAAAACCAAACCAAAAGAAAAACATTGATGTTGAGCTATGTAGATCCCCAGGGCTGGGTTTTGCAATCAGCCTCTGAGTTTTAACTAGGGGTGGTAAGTTTTGACTTTTTTGTACGGTCCCTTGCTATAGCTAATAGTTTATTCCTATCCCAGTGGTAGAGAGCAGAGCAGGTTAGGGTTGGTGGGAGAGCAATACAGGCTTGGCTCCTGGAGGTCTGAGTCATCAGGGCAGGCAGAGCAGGCCCAGTCCACACAGGCTCTGGGAGGACTGGGTACAGGAATGTTTACCCTGCCCAGGCAAGAGCCCTGCCCACCATATCCTGGCTCCTTCTCCCTTCAGCTCTGCAACTCAGCTGCAGACGGGAGATGCTCCAAAGCCTGGAGCTGTGGCTGATAGGTTCAGCCAGGGGCCTTCAGAACAGCCTGGTCCTGAAGCCTGGCTCAGGGTGAACAGGGCCAGGCCAGCCTGTCCAGAGTTGGGCTCTGGCCCCAGAGCATCCCTCACCCTCCTGGGTGAGCTGATCAGGTACCACTTTCAATAGGACTCAGGGCCACTGTCTGGACAATAAGTTGAACTTGGTGCTGTGGGTTCATCTTGACTAGACATCCGGACCCCCTGAGCACATGCCTGTAACGTGGCACTTGTAATTTGCTCTGCATCTGCTCAGGGACACCGGACTCTGTGGGCTGCTTGTCCCTCAAAGATTTCTTGAGTCTCTAATGGACTGCTCAAGGGGCCTATGAAGTGACAGACGTGGTCCAAGTGGCATATACTTATGGAACACCTTTGTTTCATACTCATGAGACTCTAGCTACGTAAGGTGCTTACTGCATGCTGAGAGGTCTGTGTTGTGACTACATAGCAAAGTGGCTAAGACTTATCTTCGGACAGAGAGCAATGCTTGTGTGGTCACAGCTGTGAATACATGAAAGAGTATGGCAGTGTGGCCAAGGTGCGACATGAGCGCACCGTGAGCTCATGTGTGTGAGCGGTCACGTGCAGCCTTCGGGCTGTGTGCATTTGTGTTTGTGGCGGGACATCTACACCAAGGGAGTATGTCTGAGGCTCAGACCCACAGCCATGGCACAGAGACCCACAGCTCTCCCGTATCCTAGAGGGGGCAGGATGCAGGCTTTCAGGGCGGCCTCCATCCCCCATCTCTACAGACACACAAAGCAGACTCCTTTTCCAGGGCTGGGCCAAGATTGGGAACCCAGGAGTCCCAACCCCCATCCCAGGTTCTGGTAGCTGCTCAGGACAAAAAGAGAGGCCTTGTTTTCCAACCCTCTCAGAGCAAAGTGAGAGAGGAAACTAGAGGCAGCTGGGCCCAGCTCAGTCTGAACATCTGTCCAGAAAGTGACTAAGGCCAAGAAGCCCTGTCACCACAGCATGCCTACCCCCTCCCTCAGTCTCCTGCTGGGGGTACTCTCAGTAGCGCAGGATGAGGACACATTCCTCCCCTACATACAGACAGAAAGAAACCAGAGACAGCAGTTGTGAAATCCCCATGCCCCATACACCTGCTACCAGCCAGAGACCTTGATATTACCTGGAGTCTGGTCTATCTCTAGCCTTCACTTTGTCTTTTTTTATAGTTCTTTTTTTCTTTTTCAGACAGTGTCTCACTCCATAGAGTAGGCTGGCCTTGAACTCACAAAGATCCATCTACATCTGCCTCCAGAGCGTTGGGATTAAAGGTGTGCACCAATACGCCTGGCTTCTAGCCTTCACTCTCTGATTCTTCTCGTAGTCCAAGCCCTTTTGAGAATCCACAGTTACGATTACAGGAATGGGAGGTGGTTCCTTCTCAGCAGAGGGACATAGGAGGGCAAGGCTATTCCTTAGGGCAGGAAATGTTAGCAGGGAGTTTTCCAGGCATCCTGGGTTAAGAGGAACATTCCAGAGGGGCTCAGGAAGAAGCCCTCCCCCCAACCATGTTCAAAACCTTCTCTACAGAAAACTATGTGGAGGTCAAAGCTGACGAAAAGTTACAAATGAGAGGTTAGTTCCTTTAACAGTCGGAAAAATGAAGGCAGGCAGGGAGGGGAAAATTCCTCAGAAAGTCCCAAATCTGACCTAATTTTGACCCAGAGCCAAGGGGCTCCTTTCCAAAAGTTCCTGTAGGGACACTATGGCCTAAATGAGGCCCATTCTTCACCCCCTGCCATGAGCTCCTGAGACTCTGATCTGACCAAAACCCTTCCTGGTGAAACTGACCCTGGAAACCCCCACCCTGAGACCCCCTGCTTCTGAAAGAGGACCAGTTCATCTGTGCTCTTTCCATACATGACACAAGTATGCACAGTCATCAGGGCACTCTCATGGGCACAGAGATGAGTCTTCTTTGAATTCTATAATGGGAGCCACTGCAGGGCTGAGCACCCAAGACTGACCAAGTCCCTGCCTCCCCTGTGCTGGAGCGGAGCTTTCCAGGGACAGCTCCCTAGCTCAGGCATCACCTGGGACTATGCTGGGCACAGGCTCATACTCTTTTGGTCCTTATCACGAAGACTATGACACCTGGAACCCCTGCACAGGACCTCACCCATTTTGGAGATGGGGAGGGGCTGGCAATTCGGTTTGGTCAGTAAAGTGCTTGCAGTATAAGCATGAAGACCTGAGTTCAAATCCCTACCATCTACACAAGTAAAAAGCCAGAGCTCAGACTTGACCACATGTCTTTAATCACAGAACTGGAAGGGAGAGGCAGGCAGATCTCTGTGACTTCCAGGCCAACCAAGACTTCATATATACTGCTCGCCTGTAATCCCAGCACCGGGGAGGCAGTGATGAGAGGGCCCCTTGAGTCTACTGGTCGGCCAGCCTACCTCGAGGAGAAGCTCAAAAATAAGGCAGAAAGCAAGTGAAGACACCCAACCCTGACCTCTGGCCTCCGTGAGCACCCCCACCCCCAAACACACGCGCCTGCTCCTGTGTTTCTGTGTTATGAATTAAGTTTTAGACCCACTAAGATCACTGAATCTAGTCCAGTGGGGCAGTTTGGGTTCTCTTCTCCCCCCAACTCTCACTGCTTTCAGGATTCAAAAAGAAAAGGCTGTGCTTCTGTTACATTAGTTAACTGTAAAAGGTTTATCAAGGAGAGTCAAGCAGTGGGACCCAGGAGCAGATCACGGCTTCCCAGCAAGGCAAGGGGAGCAGGGTCACTTGCCAACATGATGCTGGGCCACACCCTGGCCTGGGGGGTAGGGGGCAGTAACTCCTGGAGGATGTAAACAGAGGTGGATGGCAGGGCAACCTGACCAGTGAGTCTGGCCACACAGGGGGGCAAGAGCCCCCGGGTTGTTTCTGTCAGATTTCCCACTGTGCAATGAGAATGTTTTGAGAAGACCAAGCCACAGAAACAAAGGTGCCTGGGACCTCGGGACCTGGCCCTAGGAGACTGAGCAGTTACTGCTGGCAGCTTTTGAGAGTTCCCTCCAGAAAGACACAACCAGGGCTCCATGCTCTGTGGCTTGAGCACCTTGAGCCTAGAGAAGGGAAAGTTGCTGCATGGTCCCCCGATCAAGGAAAAGTAAAGGGGTCCCCCAACCAAGGTAGAGGGGAGCCCAAGGCCTACAGGAGGGAGATGGCCTGCAGTCCCTCCTGCAGAGGCATGGGTAGGGCAGGGAAAGCCAGGGACCATGGAGCAATGATGATCCCTTCCCTCTGTCATATAGATCGGAACCCACCGAGAGGGCACCAAACTTGCTCGGGAATGTTAAGAAAGGGCTACATCCATCCTCTCCCCAAATGTCCTTCACTCCATTTAATGTCTTCTGTAGGTCCTTGTAATTTGTCAAGATATTGTAATTTGTCACCTACTCCATGAAGTGTCCCCTGACCAGCAGAGTTCTGTGGTCCTTTGAGGAGTTTCCATGACTCTTTAAGCATTATCTGCCATACTCCATTGTCTGATATCAACTTTGAGACGTGGCTCTTCCGGGACAGGCCCATTCCAGCTTTGGTCAGCAATGTCTCAGTCAAGGCCACAGCAGTCTATGGAGTCCACGGAATGAACAGGGTGGAGTGGCCAGTTGAGCGTGCACTATAGGCTCCAGAGAAGCTCCATCTTTAGGGACTGACCAGCAGCCCAGGCTTTGGCTCAGAGGGCTCCTCTCTCCATTCACCCATCTCTAAAGTGAGGGAGGACTACTCCAGGAGTACCACTCACCTCACCCACGCCAGGGCTCCTGAGCCACTGCTGGTGTCAGGGAGGCTTGGAGCGGGGTGGACTGCAGTGACAGGGTCCGGGTAGGAAGAGGCCTGCGTGTGTGGTCAGAGTCTGTCAGAGGTGGTCATACATGTGGAGGGTCTTCTCCAGCTGCTGGCCTACCCGCTGGTAGAAACGGATCTGCTGGCGCAGATAGCTTTGCATCATATGCTTGAAGTCAAGCTCTCGGCGCTGGTGGAAATGGTTCATCTCGGCCTGCAGGGCGAAGCCTACCACGCGGCAGCGCCTGCGAATGCCGTCTGCCTCTTCCTGAGCCATGCGGCCCTCATCACTCATGCGCTGGCTTTCCTTCACCTTGGCAAAGGCACCTGGCAGGACAAAACACAGGACAGGCAAGTTAGGGCTTGTATCTCCATCATTCACTCCCCCCTACAACCATCCCTCTAGTCGCACAACAGGGATTGACAGTCCTACTGGATCCATTAAGACTTCACTCCCAGACAGGCGTGGTGGCGCACGCCTGTAACCCCAGCACTCTGGGAGGCAAAGGCAGGTGGATCTCTGTGAGTTCAAGGACAGCCTGGTCTACAAAGTGAGTCCAGGACAGCCCAGGCTACACAGAGAAAGGGAAAATAAAAAGGCTCCTGGCTGTCTCCATCAAAGCATTACAGGTCTCACTGTCTATCTAGCCTTGGTCTCTCTCTTCCAAAGTGTGCCCTATGACCTCCGAGGCTTCCCAACACCTTCTATCTCAGTTATCACACTTTGGCTGCCTGGCTGCCCCTGAGTTGTTAGCTGAGTGAGTTCAGGGACTGTCATGTTCCTCTGTGTCCCCAGATCCCACAAGGCCTGGCCCAGGCAGATGTGGACACATCTGCTGAACTGACTCATCTCATCCCTGAGTTGCCGTGACAGTGACATCTCCCTGATTTGAGATTCTATCTCAGAGCATCCAAAGATATTTCCTAAGCTGGATGCCGTGCCTGGCTCTTCAGTGCCTGCAGATGACAGCCTACACCCGGCCTAGGAGGCCTCTGGGAGTTGGCTCTTGTACATGTGACTTCCACAAAGACACCATGTCCATCCAGCCCTCCCAGTTCTTTCCTGCCTTCCCTCTGCTGGCTGGATCCCTATCCATAATTCAAGGCCCAGATCACGTTCCACTTCTCTACCAAAGTCTCCCCAGCGCCCCAGGCAGAACGTCTCCTGTCCCCAGCCTGTTGTTCTACTGCTGATTCTAAAACGACACTTTAAAAGGCCACCTGGTATGTCTCCCTTACACACAAGCCCTGCCCACTCCTCACCCCTGTCCCCTTGGAACCAGAGACTGTAATGATAAACAGGTGACAGATGGTCATAGAAAGGGACAAACCTGTGCAGAGGCCTTCATCTGGAAGCCCTGGGATGAATCAACAAACAGTTAATGGATTCAGTTCTGAATAGAAGGCATTTGACTAACCTTGCCTTTAAGCCAGTTGCTAAGAAGAAGAGCGAGTGTGTGTGCAAGTGTGTGTGCGTGCCTGGCACTCACTCTTCAAAGGACAAAAGGGAGTCCCCAGGGCAAGGGAGCCCGCGTGCTACTTTTCCTTTTGTTGGTTTCTTTTCTTTTTTTAAGATTGACTTCATTTTTTATTGTTTGTATGTTGAGGAGGAGGGTAGGTGCGTGTGAGTGCCAATGGAGGCCAGAGACATCGGATCCCTCTGGAGCGCCCCCTGACATGGGTGCTGAATTGAGCTTGGGCACTCTGTAAGAGCAGCACACGCCCTAACTACTCATCCACTTCTCCACTTCTCCAGTCCTTTTCAGTTGATTAAAATTTACTATTTTATGTGTATGAGTGTTTGCCTACATGTATATCTATGCATCATGTATGTGCCTGGTGCCCTTGGAGGCTAGAAGAAGGCATAAGATTCCCTGGAAATGGAGTTCTAGAGAGTTGTGAGCCACAATGTAGGTGCTAGGAGTTGTACCCAGGTCCTGGGGAAAAGCAGCCAGTGCTCTTAACTGCTGGACCATCTCTCCAGCCCTTCTTTTGTTTTGATTGTCCATTGTTTTGTTTTGTTTTATGTTTCAGACAGGTCACATGTGGACTAAGCTGACCTCAAACACATGACTGAACCCAGGGTCTTGTTCACGATCTGCATACATCCCCGGCCTATGTTACCTCTTCTACGTGGCATTCTTCTAATTTCCGCTGAAGTCTTCAGAAGTGTTCAAATGTACTGACTGGGCATTTCCTATCTGCCAGGGCTCTGGATGCTGGAAATAACTCCAGATGCCTTTATCAGAGACGCCCTCTCCATCAGCCAACAAGAGCAGGGCTAAATGGCTGCTAGTGGCATTTCACACAATACTCAAATTTAGAGAGATGCTTCCACGGCACCCACAACCTGTAGCCCCAGCTTTCACCTCACTCAGACCTTCTGACACCTTCCCTCAATTATAACCTGCCCTCCTGCTCCACACTCCAGTTGCTGGAACTCTTTGGGAAGGATTAGGTGTGGCCTCATTGCAGTAAGTGTGTTATGTGCGTAGTCCACGCAGTTTCCAGGGAGTTCTCGCTCTCTTTCTCATATGCTTATGAAGGAGACGTGAGCTCTCAGCTACTGCTCCAGCACCATGCTCCCCACCATGATGGTCACGAACTGTAACCCTCTGAACTGTGAGCCTCAATAAATTCTTTCTATTATAAGTTGTCTTGGTCATGGTGCCGCATCACAGCGACAGAAAAACTAGACACCATCATTTCCTCACCTGGTTGACTCAATTCTTGGGCCAAGACCAGTGAAAGCTAAGGAGTCCCACCTGAGTAGGCTGCAGGTATGCCTGTCAAGAATACTTCTACGTTCCATTTTGGACTCAATTTGAGTCCCTCAAGGTTTGCCTCCTGCCTTCGAATACTAGATCCCAGGAATGAGGACTTAGAACCTATTAGTTGCAGAGCCCCAGGGTCCCAGGCATTTTTCATACCTTCCCCTTCTTAAAACTACCTGTTCTAAATTTAGGGCCAGGCCTGAGTCCTAGTACCAGCTCTACTTTCCTTTGCCCCAAAGAAACACTATGTTTAACCACTGAGCCCGGCTTCTGCAGGGGTTCTAGGGATTTAAGCTCAGTTCCTCATACTTACATGGCAATTGCATTACCCACTGAGCCATCTCCACAGGCTGCAAACTGTTTTTCTTTCCAAGGACTCACAGCAGTTACCAACCTTACCAGCCCATGGTGACTCATAGCAAGGTAAGTCTCTGTTATTGAACCTTAGAAGGTCCAGGTGTGGTGGAGCGCACCTTTAATCCCAGCACTCAGGAGGCAGAGGCAGGTGGGTTGTTGGAGGCCTTAAGTTCTAGGACAGCCTAGGCTTTGTAATGAGAAACTGTCTCAAACAAAACAAAATTTAAAAGCACACAAAGGGTTCCTGTGGTAACATGTATCTGTAATCCTAGCACATGAGAGGTAGAGGCAAGAGGATCAGGAGTTCAAGGTCATCCTTGACTACACAGCAAGGTCCAGTTTTTGAGGCCTACTTCACTTTTGAGAACCTTTCTCAAGAAAACAAAAAGAAAAGAAAGAAAGAAGTAGGCCACCTCTGCTGTGGAGGGACCTACACCCACACCCAGCACAAGGACATAAGCAGCACAACTCAGTAAGCTATTTAAAAAAACAAACGAGACTGGGTGGTGCTGCACGCCTTTAATCTCAGTTCTCAGGAGACAGACTCTGAGGCCAGCCTGGTCTACATAGAGTTCCAGACTATATAACGAGACCTTGTCTCAAATAAATAAATAAATACATAAAAGGGGGAGCAGGGTGGTGGTGCATCTGGAAAGAATTAGAGTGAGGGGTGGATACAATCACCATGCTGTATGGAATTCTCAAAGAATCAACAAGATATTTTAAAAATAAAGTAGCCTAGGCAGACCAAGACCAGTAGCACATGCCTGTTCTAGCACTCAGGAGGCTGAAGCAGAAAGATCGAGTTTGAGTCTAGCCTGGGGTACAAAACAAGACCCTGTCTCAAAAAAGGAGGAGGAGGAGAAGCAGCAGCCGGAGCTGGAGAGTTAAACACACTTGTTGCTCTTGCAAAGGACCAGAGTTCAGTTGGCAGCCCTCGACTGCCCATAACTGTGGCTCCAGTGCAGGCAGTACCCTCTTCTGGCCTCTGTGGGTACCCTCACTCATATGCACATACCCCAACACACACACACACACACACACACACCAATACACATAATTAAAAACAAAGCTAAAGGAGGAGGAAGAGGGAAGCAGCTGCCATACCCTCCCTACTCAAGAGCTTGCACCTACAGGGACTACCCTGTTTTAGCCAAACCATAAGCTCCATGGTCCCTCGAGGATAGCTCTGAAGTCCTAGGCCTGCCTCAGGTTTACAAAGCACAGCCTCCTTCCCCTTCTGTATCATTGACCCCAGCTGTCCAGCTCTTGAGAAGTTCCCTCCTCCATCTGCCTGATGGAGTAGATTCCAACATACCTGGCCTCTGTATCTATCTATGCTGCTTATCTGAGAAATTTAAGGGGCCCACACCAGCTACTTAGTGATATGGGCTTAAGATTGATTGCTGACCTTGCCGACTCCTCGGAGAGGATCCTGGGTCCTGGTTTGCTCTGGGCAGTCACTACACCCTTTTTTGGTGACAGGATAACCATTACTAGGCTTTTCTTCCCCCAAATGTCTACATAGGCATAACAGGCTGCTGAGCTGAACTCAGCTCCAGTCAGCCTCCATGTCACATCAGCATGGAGGCTGAGGGGAGAAAACTCTCCAAGGTCACCTCATGGGTGAGGTCCCTTTAAGCCTGGTTTCCCCAGCCTGGGCCTCCCCTAACTGTTCCCTTACATGCTTACCCTTTGTTCAAGTCTAGATGGGCTAGCCAGAATCCTGGGATCCAGGACCAAAAGTCCTGTTACTGTCTCTGAGGAAACACTCTATCAGCAAGGCTGGTCAACAGGATGCTCTCAAGCTGCAGTTTCCAAAGCCTGCCCAGTTCTTTGACCAACTCTAGGCTCTCCTCCCACCGTCACTCTAGACTCAGGGCAGAGCTTAGAACCTAGAGGAAGAGGACTTGCACTGCAGGGGCTGGATGATCAGGGAAGCGAAGGTAGACAAGCACCTGTTTTCAGGCGTCAGGTCTCCCCAGCTGCCCTGGCTCTAAGAAACATCTCAAGTGGAGAATGAGACATGGCCTCTCCTACCTTTCTGTCTACTGGAGAGAAAACGGACAACATAGCTTTATTCCCTTCTTCTTGCATGAAAGCCCGGGAGCACCGAGTGTGTGGACATACGGCTGCCCTATTGACTCAGCTCCAGCCTAGGTGAGAATCTCTAGCCACTGAGTCGGAGCAGCTGTTTAATCATTGTGCCCAGCCTCTTACTGCCCACACAAAAACATGCCATCCAAGGAGCTGGTCGAACCAGCTTTCCCAGGCCCAACACACTGTGTGGCTCCACTTCCGCACAGGGAGGCACTAGCCCTGCCAGGCTGGGCCCCTGCTACCAGCCATCTCCTCTGCCCTGAGTGCAAAGCCAGAGATGTATGGAAGCAGCCAGAGGCAGAGGGCAGGCTTTCCCCAGAAGCCTCTACCTCAAAGGCCTAAGAAATAAAGGTTCAGGGAGGTAAAGGCCCTTCCCAACCAGAGATACAAGGCAAACTGGGTGCAAAGCTGGGCTAGAACTCAGGCGTTGAATCCCTGAGGCTGAAAGGAGGAGAAAGGTAGGTGGAGATGTGAGGGTTCAGCAAACAAAAGAGGTAAAGAAGGTGAAGGGGGAAAGCTGCCTGGAAGCTAGAGCCTGTCTGGCAGCCACCTTCCTGATTAGGACAGGGGCCTGGGGATGGGAGGAGACATGTTTGCTGTTCCCTACACTCAAGCCAGGGGCTGCTCAGAGTAAAACTCCCTGACCTCAGAACCCAGGGCCCTGGAAGCCAGCCCCACGCCCTGCATATATTCTTCCTGAGTTACTAGCCCCAGGGAGGACCACACCTCTGTCTTGACATCTGCCTTCACTAAGTCCCAGGACTCAGGCCCTGAAGAGCCCTTACAGGAGAGAAGCCCAGCTTGAAAAGGGGAGATAGATTGGCCCTGTGAACAGGGCCCTGGACCCCTGGTTATATGCCCCCCTGCCCAGCTTACCCCCCATGTGACCCAGGATGAGTCACTTCGCTGGCAGTTCCTTAACAGTTCCAGCAGCAACAGGCAGGGGCTCATCCTGTCTCTCCCCCACACAGAGGGCCATAAGAACTGAAAACATGATGAGCCTGGGAGGCTGCCAACACGAATGTGTCCTTGGGGAGCTGGAAGGAGGAAGGGATAGTCCCAGCTGAGGCACAGACTCGTGTGCAACCAATCTGCTGTGGACGCAGACTTCTTCATCTGCAAAAACGAGGACAGAGATCCTCCTGCACTGATAGTGGGTAGCAGACAGGGCAGAGGGGGAGTCTGGGCTCAGATGCTGCAAAGGTAGGAGTGAGCCTACCAGATGGAAAAGACAACCTGAGTGTGCTCTTACCTGTGTCTGTGTCTTAGTCCTTCCGGACCCCGTGGGCTCATACAAGGCAAGACCTGAGACCTAGTTACCTCTGTATTCCCAGAACCCAGAGGGTGTTCCATACATGATGATGTAAATGAGACACAGAAAAACAAAAAACAAAACAAAACAAAAACCTAGAATGGACAAGTATACAAAGAGCTCAGTGAGAACAAAGCCCAAAGCTGTCCACACTATTCCTCTGCCTACAAAGCCCTCTCCTGAGAACCATCTCCATACACTTGTTGAGCTAGTGAAGGAGACGGAGACAGGAAAGCGTGAGGAGCTAACTGTTCATCATAGTACAGGCTGTCCTGTATTCCCAGGGAGCAGCAAAACACCACACTGGGGAAGGGCTTACCTTTCTGCAGGTGGATAATGTCAGGGAAGTTGGAGAGCAGGCCCTGGTAGAGAGACAGTGTGTCAAGCATTTGGAAGAGGTCATTCTTGGGCTGTTCAGCAAACATCTCACCAACAGTTTCATAGGTCCGGCCGGTGTGAGAAATGGCATTGTTGAGGGCCTCAGAGCTAAAGGGAGGATCCATCTGGAAGGCATGGCTAATGGCCTGGAAGGCACTTCCTAGCTTCTGGAATTCTTTGCGGAAGCCTCCCACATGCTTCCGAACCAGCTCTGACGCCACGGTGCTCAGCTGCAGGACACTGTCATCCATCTTCTTACTGAAGGCCTTGAATGCATCCACCCGGCCCTCTACATCCTGCAGATCCTGGTGCTCTGTGGGGATCTGGAAGGTGAGCAGGAAACTGGCACCCACCATCTCATCCTTCTCCGCCCGGCGTTTCCCCATCTTCCACTGCTTGTCATCCAGGCAGCTGAGGAAGTGCTGGAAGCCCTCATACTGGGACAGCACAGGGTGGCTGGTCATGTGGTCCATCCAGAGGATGAGCCTTCGCTTGCGCTTCTCAATGAAATCCTCCTCGAAGCGGCCTGTGGCCTGCTTCTCAGGCAGGTGGGGCACTGAGATGACTGTGAACTTGTGCAAGAGGCGGTTATAGAGCCAGTCAAAGTGTTTGTAGCGCCGGTAAACGGGGGAGTCAGCATGGGTGGGCGTGAGCTTGTAGGAGATGTAGCTTTTGATGCCTTTGAATTTAGTCTGTTTGGTGGGGTCCTCTATGGAGCAGGCAAATGGGTGGGGGTTGGCCTTCCACTGGGGGCCTCGAGGCCCCATCTCAATGGAGTATGTCTCGGCAATCTTGGCCATCATGGGCACATCACCAAGGATGAAGGCCTCCACTCCAGAGCGCACGAAGCATGAGAAACGATTGAGGTTCCGTCCCACCGCACTGCCCCGCTTGGCGGATGCCAGACTGTCCTGCCTTTCCAGGGGTGCCTTGGGTCGGAAAGCTATATGCTGGCTGGGGTAGGCACCCGGGTAGGAGAGGTTTAGTGGAGGGTGCCCGTTGGTACCTAGGCCACCAGACCGTGGTTCTTCTACCACTGTGCACCCATCATCCCAGTCATCCCAGTCATCGTCGTCATCATCGTCCTCAAAGCTTCCTTGGTTTGAGAGGAAGCCACCGACCCCACCACTCCTGGCTGGACCGGCCATACTTGGGCTGTTATACAAACTCACCTGGGTGCCCAGGGAGCCTGCGGCGCTGGTGCAGTAGTCCACATGGTTGGTGCTAATGCCAGGCCGGACAATCTCAACATAGGAAGCAGGAAAGAGCCCTGTCTCCCCGCGGCTGTTCTGACCCTGCAGCCAGCCGTCCAGGGAGGTCTCACTGAAGATAACCAGGTCTTCATCCTGCTGGATGCTGATTTCCTCCTTGTTCTCACTGTGGAAATCATAGAGGGCTCGGCCTTTCAGTGCCATGGCTAAGATACTGGCAGGTCACGACTGGGAAGAAAATGTCTTGCCCAGACCCAGGATGCTCATCAGGATATCCAAAAATATACTTGCAGCTCAAAAATCCAGTATACCCGACTCAGCATGCACAGATGCTGTCTAGCTGCCTTCTTTTCAAAGAAATGTCCATGGTCTAGAAACTGCCTTATCGAGCATTGGGGTATCTGCCTGTAAGCCGGGAGGGGTTGATCATGGCCACAGTCTTTCTCCTCAGCAGCCCCTGAGGAGGAGAGAGTTTTCTCCCTCCTCTCACACCAAGTAGAAAGGTCAAATGACCTGGAGAAATCAGCTCTGCTAGAACAAGAAAACGACAGACAGACACTTTGGAGTAGAACAGTGTTGTACAACAGAAGAGAATCACCCGCAGACCACGGTCCCAGGAATGCAGGCAAGGTTCTGCCTGTCCTGGCTCCCAGCTCCTACTGGCTGCTCCGGCTTTGGGAGGCTCTCACATTCCTCTGAAGATCTGCTCCTTCCTTTCCTTTCTCCTCCTCTTGAAGGCCACCGCGTCTTCAAGAATCCAGAAAATCCAAGAGGGGCAAGGAGAATAACAGCAGAGTCCTGAACCAATTCCAAGGGTGGATGTGTCCGGCCTCCAAACGAGCCAGGCCAGGAAAACAAGGGCCAAAGCTTGCACAACCGGCCGATAACTACTGGACCTACGGGGTGCGACCCAGTCTCTTCTGCTTTGCTGCCCTCTTCTCGCCCTGCAAGTGGCCAGCCCCCACCCCAGGAGAACAAGGGGGCGCGACAAGCTGCTAAGAGGACTTTTGGCCTCTTCTCTCCCCCCGCCCCCCGCCTCTTTTGTTTGCCTAATTCCTCGGCAGTTTCGGAGTACGAAGCTGACCCGGATCGGAGTCCCAGAACCCCTGTCCAGAAGTAATGCTGGTGGAAATCTCCACCATCACCACCCCCGCCACTGGTGTGCCAGGGAACACTCAACAGTAGTTGGTAGACCGAGCTCCGCTCCGTCGAATAGATGGCGTCGCCGGCTGTTTGTCCTACCGTCCGTCCGTCGGTTCGTTCTCCGCGATGCCCTGTGGATCCGGCCTGAGGGGGACGAGGTGAGCCCCAGCCACCTTACCCCGCACTTGCAGCCCCTCAGCGCTGCCAGTGGGCAGCCAGATCCAAAACAAACAAACACCGCCCCCCCCCAGCCCCAACCAAAAAAAAAAAAAAAAAAAAAAAGAAAGAAAGAAAGGAGTCCAGGAGGTGGCGTCTCGAGGAAGGAGGGGAAAAATGTAGGGGAGGTGAGGGGTGGAGAGAAAGAGAGAGGGAGGTATGAGAGAGGGAAAGCAGGCTAGGGAATTGAGCAAACTCCACCGCACTTCCGCGCGTCCCGGCGGGGCAGCGAGCGCGCGGCTCCGCCCTCCCGCGGCCAGGGTACCACCTCCGGCCTTCCGCCCTCCTTTCTCTAGGCGGGCGCTCTCCCTCTCGCGGGTTCGGTCCGGGCGGCCGGGACCCAGAAAATGGACCCCGGAGTCGCGAGCTGCGAGCTTTCGGCAGCCGAGGTGCGGGAGCGGGGAGCCACCTCTCGCCCGGGTTGGAGCGCCACGCGGGGGAGCTCGCCAGCCGCCACCAGGCTTCGCCTCCTGGATTCGGTCACCCGCCTGCCTTTTCCGTGACGCAAGTGCAGGAAAACTCCGAAAGTTTGCAGAGCGCGGAGTGGCGAGGAGGGGGCCAGAGGCTAGGAGAACGGCGCGGGCTGCCGGGGAGCAGTGCTGCGGACTCCCCTCTCCCAGCCTCCTGTCCCGTCTCGCGCTCTCGGGTCAGTCTCGGGGCTAGCACAGCTCCGGGATTGTTCTCGGAGTGGGGGGCAGCAAACTGCGGCCCTGGTGTCCCGCTATGCGAAACCCGGTGCTGTGAACCTGATAGGGCGAGGAGCACCCCTGCGTTGGGCAGCTTCCTTCAGTGTGGGGGTTGGGGGAATGCGCAGGACCACATACTTCTGAAGTGACAAGTAACATGGTTAGCCCTGGGCGGGTTCTGAGTTGCTTTGTCCTTTCGCGGGAGCCGGATCTTCCATTCTGGCCTGCAGCAGCAAGGAGAGAGGAGTGGATCTGGAAGATAGCCTCTGTTTTCCACGACTCTCCGGTTTATACAAAACGAGGTGAACTCTGATTAAGACGGGAATTGTACTGAAGTTTAGAGCAAACAGCGCATCATTGCTTCCATGTGCCCCTCTGGTCTTTAATTCACACAGCCTGATTTCAATAAGTTATGTATTTCCAACAACAAATTTACCGAGTACCGATAATTTGCCAAGCCCCTGGACTGCAAAGAAAACAAAGAAACTGCTTATCTTCTGGAAGCTCCTAAGTATCTTACGAGATGTTCCTGCCTAGTGTGGCCAGAGCCGTGGAAAACGCCTGGGAAGGCACTTTCCCAGCCTGGGTGGAGCACATCAAGGACGTCCTCAGCAGTGGAGGCAGAAGGCAGGTGGATCTCCAGAGTTTGAGGCCAGCCTGGTTTACAGAGTGAGTTCTAGGTCAGCCAGGGTTATACAGAGAAACCTCGTCGCGGGGGTAAGGCGAGGGGAGGACCTCCTTTTCCTCCTGGAGATCAGACAAAGACTTGAGCCCAGACCCTTTTCCATGGTGAGCCCTGGAGCCTTGTTTGGCCCTCTGGCTGGAGCTTCTTACCTCCCCACCCCTATTGCAGATTAGCTGGTATAAATTAGTGCTGCTAAAGATTGCCACTTTGGGCTTTTTTGAGGAACATGATTCCCAAAGTTCATTTTCATTGGTAAAATCTGAATTTGACTCCCTATAAAGATGATTCAAGAGGATCCTAAATTGGTGGCCATCATAGTGAGTACCAGGCCACCAAATAAGAACTTAACCAAAGCTCTGGCTGCCCGCTCTTTACTACATTCTGTACTCAGTTGGCTTTTGGGCTCTGTGAGGAGGGTCACCTCCATTACAGCAGCTTGCCTTTCTTTCAAAGGCAGGTGAGGAAGGGCATACATTCGCATATCCTTCAGCCTGCTGTGCTGTGGGGCTCATATTAACAATTGACATACCGTACCGGCACACACCTTCAGACTGTGTGAGGAAACGTCACTCCCACACACCCACGACCTTGATTGCCTTTTGTGTGTGTTTGGACTGGGGAGTGAATCTAGGGACTCAGGTATGTTGGGCAAGCACTGTATCACAGAACTCAATGTTACCTTTTGAGTTAGGTCTCAGTACATTGTTGCTCAGACTGGCCCTGAAGGGTTTCTGTAATTCATACACACCTTTTTGGAGTCCTTCTGGCTTCAGGCTTGCTTCCTGTATTGTCTTTATTTTGCTTCCAAGCACTTAAGTCACACATTTAAATGACAGCCATCTTAGACTTATGCATGTTTGTTTGTTTTTTTCTAACTTTTAGGGGCTACTCTCTTTTCCAAGTTCTTAGGAAAAATAAGTCTTTCAGCCTACAGAAATTTCCAGAACCTCCATCTTCTACTCACTAAATTTCAGGGGTCCTCTTCAGGTCCAAGGGTAACAGCCTCATGGTTGTTAGGAGACTGCACTGGCCGTCATGATTTTCCTGCACCCTGCTCTCTTTGAAAAGGATCCCTTTTCTTTTTTACTGTTGTTGTTTTATTGTTTATCAAGACAGAGTTTCTCTGTGTAACAGAGCCCTGGCTGTCCTAGACTCCCTTTATAGAGTAGGCTGGCCTCGAACTCACAGAGGTTTGCCTGCCTCTGCTTCCAGAATGCTGGGATTACAGGCGTGTACCACCACGCCCTGCTAGGATCCCTTTCTTAAAATCGCCTTCCTTTAACCTTACTTTTTTGTATGTGTATGTGTGTCCTGTGTATTTGTATGTGTGCAAGTAGAGACCAGAAATGATCTTCAATGTCTCTCCTGGATTGCTCTCTGTCTAATTTATTGAGGCAGGCTTTCCCAACTGAGCCCAAAGCCCACAGACTCAGCTAGTCAAGTCTCTGCCTTCCATACATCCTGAGATTACAGGTGGGCCACCACTGTTATCATACATGCGATTCCAATTGCCTGCTTCTAAGTTGCCTAGCAACCTCTGACATCATCACCTGCTGCCGCCAGATGTGAGCCAGGCCTGTGCCAATAAAAGGGACCCAGTAGCCTTTTTCTCTTTCTCTCTCCTCTCATGCTTTTCCATGGTCTCCCTGCCTCTTTTTCTCTCCACCCTCATGGCTCACTCAAGCCCCAACTCCTCTCCCTTCTCTCAAACTTCTTTGTATCCGACCTGTTGCATGTCATGCAGTTCCTTAGGAATTGTAACAACCGCACTTCCCTGCATTTACATGGGCACAATGGGATTGGAACTCTAGTCCTCAAGGTTGAGCCCCAAGACATTCGACTTGCCACACCACCCCTCTAGCCTTCTTTTCTTTCTTATTTTTATATATTTAGATGAGTCTCACTATGCAGCCTTAGCTGTCCTAGAACTTGCTATGTAGATCAGGCTGGCCTCAAACTCAGAGATCTGCCTGCCTCAATCTCCCAAGTGCTGGATTAAGATCACGAACCACTATGCTGGATCCTTTCTTCCCTCTAATTGGAACATGTTCTTTCCTACTAGGGTCCTGATTCATCTTTCTCCCAGGCGTGAAGTGGAATTTCACTGTTTAGGAATGGGGAAGGAAGCCCCACGAAGTGGCAGTGTGGCAGTAACACAAGAAGCAATAATGAGGATCTGTAGTTGAACAAAGGCAATAAGCTGGTGCAAAGTAACCCTAGGGGCTTTTTTGGCGGGGTGGGGGGGAGCTAAACTAAAATGGTGATCACATATTTGAAAATATTTTCTCAGAAGCTGGGCATTGTGGTGCATACCTGTAACACCAGAATTTGGGAAGCTGAGGCCACAGTACCAAAACAGTTAACATGGCCAGGCTTGGTGGCGCATGCCTTTAAATCCAGCAATCTGGAGACAGAGGCAGGCAGATCTCTGTATGTTTGGGACCAGTCGGGTGTGCAAATCAAACTCAAGGCCAGCCAGGACTGTGTGGTGACATTCTGTCTCCAAACAAACGAACAAACAAACAAACAGGAGTTAAAATGGCAGAAACAAGCATGAGGCATGAGGAGGAGGGCAATGAGGAAGTAGATCAGTCCAGCTGGCCTACCTGCCTCCTCTTACTTTCAGTCACATAGCAACAACCCCTATACCCTTTACTCAGAGGCAGATAACAAAAACAAAAGGAAGAACTCTTCTTATATATTTTTTAAATTTTTTATTCTTTGTGAATTTCACATCATGAGCCCTAACCCCACTCTTTTCTTGTCCCTTTGTGCCAGTTCTCTACCCTTTTTGTGCCTCTTCTCCACCCTTGCAACTTCACCCTCACCAGAAAACAAAACAAAACAAAAAAAAAAAATCTCTCCTTGGAAGCTGCAGTGTGTCGCTGTATGTCCCACAGTTACACCCTTTTGTCCCTACAACTTTACTTGCAAATGTTCATGCAGTGAGTCATTGGTCTGGTTCGAGAGGCAGAGACAGGAGGATCTCTGTGAGTTTTAGGCCAGCCTGGTCTACAGAGTGAGTTCCAGGACAGCCAGCGCTAAAACAGAGAAACTTTGTCTCAAAAAACAACCAAAAACATAGTTGAGATGGGCCAACTCAAGGCCTTGGACCTGGCCTGGCTGGAAGCTGAGTTGGTCAGCCCACCAGCTCTCCAGCACTGCCCTGGCAGGATGAGCTGTGGGCAGCCCTTGGACATCCACATGGTCTCAGGTGTCGGTCCAGACCAGGGATATCTGAATGGCCTTAGGCACACAGCCCTCCTGCTGCATGACCTGGACCCAGACCAGGGGCCAGAGCCCACAAACACAGTTAGCAGTTCTCTGGTCTCCAGTCAGGACATTTTTGGCGCGTGACTGAGGGAGGACATGGATTGAGGTCCCTATCTCTAAACTCTCTGTCCCACTTTTATCTCCCAGCCTCATCATTCCTGCCTGAAAAGGTGGCTCTGACTGCCATTTAGGGGCTTGGGATGCTGTTTATTAGGTTTATTTGTGTGTGTGTGTGTGTGTGTGCACTTGTGTGTACGCACGCGCGCACACCAGAGGACAATTTGTGGTAATCTTTCCTCTCCCTCTAACACGCGGTTTCAGAGATTTAAAAACAGGGTTTCTCTACATACCCCTGGCTGCCTGGAACTCACTATGTAGATCAGGCTGGCCTCAAACTCACAGCAACCCATCTGCCCCTGCCTCCATGGTGCTGGATTTAAAGGCACCTGGCACTATTTGGACTTTTAATAAATATTTCCAACCTGTCATCTACCTAGTGGAATTTCTGGCCTTAGTTCTGCTTCTGTGATCCATACAGGAACTGTTCTGGAAGATCTGCTTGAACTTGGGACTTTCTGGGCAAGGATTTACCAGACTGAGATATCTTCACCCTTTCTAGACAAAAGGGTTAGGACTTGTCCTTA